ACACAACCTTGCTTGCTGAAAGTTAAGATGACTTGAAGCACTTACTAATGAAGATTAAAGACTACAGTCTGAAGTATGGATTACATATCAATATAAAGGAAACAAAAATCCTCACAACTGGACCAATGGACTGCATCATGATAAAAGGAGAAGAGATTGAAGTTATCAAATATTTCATGTTACTTGGATCCACAATCAACACTGATGGAAGCAGCAGTCAAGATATAAGATGATATATTGCATTGGACAAATGTGCTGCAAAAGACGTCTTTCAAGCGCTAAAGAGCAAAGAACTTTCCTTGAAGACTAACGTGCGCCTAACTGAAGCTGTGGTATTTTCAATCACCTCATGTGCATGTGAGAGCTGGACAATGAAAAAAGAAGACTGAAGAATAGTTGATGCTTTTGAGCTGTAGTGTTGGTGAATGATACTGAAAGTACCATAGACTGCCAGAAGAAATAACAAATCAGTCCTGGAGGAAGTGCAGTAGGAATGCTCCTTGAAGCAAGACTGGCCAGACTTCCTCTCACTTACTTTGCTCATGTTGTTAGAAGGGATCATTCCCTGGAGAAGGATATCATGCTTGGTAAAGTGGAGGATCAGTGAAAAAGGGGAAGGCCCTCAAGGTGATGGATTGACAAAGTGGCTGCAATGATAAGCTCAGATATAGCAAAGATTGTGAGGCTGGCAGTGTCTCATTCTGTTTTACACAGGGTCGCTATGAGTTGGAGCCAACTCACCAGCACCTAATAGCAACAGCAACTCAGAATATATAAAGAACACTTAAAATTCAATAATGAAAGACAATGTATTAAAAATGGGCAAAATATTTGAGTAGACATTTCTTGAAAGAAGATATGCTACTTTTTAATAACCACATACATATAAAGATCTTCACCAAAAAATATGTCAAATCAAAATCACAATGAGATTCCACATTACATAACTAGAATGGCTATAATAACAGAAAAAAAAAATAGACAATAAGAAGTATTGTCAAGGATGTGAAGAATTTGGAACCTCAGTACATTGCTGGTGGGATGTAAAATAATGCAGCTGGTTTGGAAACAGTTTGGCAATTTTTCAAAAAGTAAAATATATATAGGGTTAACATTTTGTTGTGACTCAGCAATTCCTCCACTAGGTACATACCCCAGTGAGATGAAAACATATGTTCATACAAAAGCTTTTATATGTATTTTCATAGCAGCATTATTCATAGTAGCAAAAAAAGTGAAAACAATCCAAATGCTTATTCAGCTTATGAATGGATAAATGTGATATATCCATACAATAGAATATTATTAATCTAGGAAAAATAATAAAACATTGATACATGGCACAATATGCATGAACTTGAAAATACCATGCTAAGTGAAAGAAGTCAGGCACAAAATGTCATATATTGCACGATTCCATTTATATAAAATATCCAGAATAATTAAATCCATGGAGACATGAGTACATTAGTGATTGCCAAAGATTAAGGGAAGGGAAAATGAGAAATAAATGGTAATGGATATGGAGTTTCTTTTTGAAAAGGTGGAAGTGTTCAATAATGAGACAATGGTAAGGGTTAAACAATGTTGTGAATGGATTGGAAAGTACTGAATTGTATGCTCTAAAAATACAATGTTGTGGCATGTGAATTATATCTTTATAAAAAAGTACATTATGGCAAAATGATTCATTACTCACCTGTACTTTTAACTGCTGTGGTTAATGAAGAAAGTGTTGACACCAAAGATGATTTTGACATTTCTCTGTTGGTTGTTCCTATTTTGATAAGATAGACATTATTGTTAATTAAAATCTCATCTTATCTGCAAAAGGAATAATTAAAAGTAAGTCAAATGTGGAGGTTTGCTAAAGTCCCTCTGCAGAAGTCCTTGTTAAGCTTTTGTCTACCTTTAATTCTTTTATTTTTCAACTCCTTTTTTTTCAAGGAGAGAAATATAAGTATTTCATTTTTGTAGAGGCTGATACAGAAAAGTTCACATAAGTTTTTAATGATTTATCCAAGAAATAAATGTCAACTGCAGCTTGTTATCTGTATGCATAAAACAAGCAAAAAATGCTGTTAAAATTAGTGATTTCAAGTCATTTTATCTTTCACTATTGGAAAAATGATCTGGTCACTAGGACCTACATGTAACATACCTTTCATTTAGAATTAAGTTTCATTTTGTTCAATTGGTTGTCACAGTGAAAAGTGAAAATAAACATAAATTATAAAGTAACTTACAAACTCCTCTAATTAGGTAATTTGTTAATTCATGAAACATTCATTGAGTTCCCACTATGAACAAAACTTCTAAACTCTTGAGGGCAAGATCCAACTCTTAGTCATCTTTTTAATCTCAGTAATATCAAGAGTAATTCTTACATGAAGTGAGCATTTAGTAAATATATTTTTCAAAAAAGGTGTCAGTCATACAGGACTTGGCAATCAGAAAACACCTCTGAGCACGTGGCAAATGTTTGTTTACATGCTATTTCTTTGTCCTCACTGCTTATTAGGGGATATAGGTTATCTTGGTAATGGAAAATTGCTATACTGGGCAGAATTTATGAATTATATTGTAAAGTGGAGAACACCTAAGCTGATGTATTCCTTTCTATAAGTTTTTAAGACTGAGAGGTGGCTATTTTTCAAAAGAAGAAACCAACAAAGAAAAAGTAATTCCTAAAAGCTAGATTTGAGATTTTTCATAGTCTTTCCCTTATTTTCTGTTGGGGCACAACTCAAAATGGAAAGAATTAGCTGCAAACATCCATTAATAAATGCAACATGGAATGTATGATGTATGCATCTAGGAAAATTGGAAGTTGTAAAAAATGAAATGGAATGGATAAAAATTGTTATCCTCGGCAATAGTAAGCTGAAATGGACTGATGTAGGCAATTTTGAATGAGGCAACCATATGATCTACTATGCCGGGAATGACAAATTGAATAGTAATGACGTTGCATTCTTCGTCAAAAAGAACTTCTCAAGATCTGTCCTGAAGTAAAATGTTGTCAGTCCCAGTAGGAAGACCAGTTAATATAAATATTATTCAAAGTTTTGCACCAACTATTAAAGTAAAAGATGAAAAATTGAAGAGTTTTTACCAACTTCTGCAGTCTGAAATTTATCAATCATACAATCAAGATGCATTGATAATTAGTGGTGATTGGAATACAAAAATTGGAAGAAAAGAATCACCAGTAGCTGAAAATATAGTCCTGATGATAGAAATGATGCTGGAGATCTCATGACAAAATTTTGCAAGTCCAATGACTTATTCATTCCAAATACCTTTCATGAACAACATAAACAGGGTTATACATGTAACTTAGCAGATGGAATACACAGAAATCAAGACTGACTACATATATGTAAAGTGGCAATGAAGCAGCTCAATATCATCAGTCAAAACAAGGCCAGGAGCAGACTGTTGAACAGACCATCAATTATTCATAGGCAAGTTCAAGTTGAAGCTAAAGAAAATTGTAATTAGTCTATGAGGGACAAAATATTACCTTGATTATATCCCACCTGAATTTAGAGAACATCTGAAGAATAGATTAGACACACTGAACACCAATGAGCAAAGACAAGACAGTATGCAGAATGACATCAAGAAGAGCATACATGAAGAAAGCAAACAGTCATTATCGAAGACAGGAAAGGAAGAAAAGACCAAACTAGATGTCAGAACACTCTGAAACTTGCTCTTGACCATAGAGTAGCTAAAACAAATGGAAGAAATGCTGAAATAAAGGAACTGAACAGAAGATTTCAAAGCACTGTTCAAGAAGGCAAAGTCAGGTATTAAAATGGAATTCCAAAGACCAGGAAGTAGAAAACCCAAAGGGAAGAAGACACTTGATATTTCTCGGGCTGAAAGAACTAAAGAAAAAATTCAAGCCCCAAGTTGCAATATTGAAGGATTCCATGGGCAAAATATTGAATGATGCAGGAAGCATCAAAACAAGATGGACAGAATACACAGAGTCACTGTACCAAAAAGAACTGGTCAATCTTCATCCATTTCAAGAGGTAGTATATTATCAAGAACGAATGGTACTGAAGGAAGAATTCCAAGCTGCACTGAAGGAGTTAGCAAAAAACAAGGCTCCAGGAATTGATGGAATACCCACTGAGGTGTTTCAATAAGCTGATTCAATGCTGGAGGTGCTTACTGGTTTATGTGAAGAAATTTACAGGACAGATACCTTGCCAACTGACTGGAAGAGACCATATTTGTTCTCATTCCAAAGAAAGGAGATCCAACAGAGTGTAGAAATTATCAAACAATATAATTAATATCACAAGCAAGTAAAATCTTGCTAAAGATAATTTTAAAAATGGTTGCAGCTGTATATTGACAAATAACTTCCAGGAATGCAAGTGGGATTCAGAAGACATGGAACAAGGAATATGTTTGCTGATGTTAAAGGAATCTTGGCTGAAAGCAAAGAATACCAGAAAGATGTCTACCTGTGTTTTATTGAGTATGAAAGGCATTTGACTGTGTGGAAAATAACATACTATGGTAGCATAGTGGCTAAGGCACTTGACTGCTAACCAGAAGGCTGGTGGTTCAAACCC